GATATTTTGATGTCCCTGAGTCTATAATGGTTCCTAATCCTGTGGCTGGGATTTCTAGGGTTTTAACTGAATACCTGAGGTGTTTCAGAGAGGTCTCTCCATTCTAACTTAGCTGGAAGTCCAGAGAAGCACAGTACTTCCTATCTCCAGTGATTTTTTTCGCCCCCACCCCCATAGGTTTTCTGGAGCCTCACCTTGTGGATGAACAGCTAGCAATAGCTAAAAACTCTGGGGAAATTCTCTTATAGGCTTAGGGGCCTCCTCTGAATCTACTACTTTCTCAGTATTCTGCTACACAAACCCTTACTACCTTAGCCACTCTTGAGCCCTGATCTCTGCCTTTTTAGCTCATGAAACTATCATTCACTAAAACAACTATCTCTTCTTGGGGGGCTTCACCTATTTATACCAGTCTAGAAGTCTCCCCAAACAGAATGTCTGGTTAACTGGGGGGACTCACCTTTTGTGTTTCTCCTATCTTACGGATCATAGTATTGTCTGATGTAGTCCAATGCCTGAAAAAAGTTGCTTCATATATTTTATCCAGTTTTATATTTTATAGAAGAAGACTAAGCCCATTACCATATATTCCATCATGGCCCAAACTAAGTCCTRTACAATATTAGTCATAATTATGATGAAGATTTTGGAGCTGTATAGAAAAATATGTATATAATAAATATGAATTTATTATAGAAGTAAGAATTATTCAAATACTTTTAGGCTGAAACTAGTAAAGCCTGTTTTTTTTTAACTTAAAAATAAATATTTTATTTAAAATTCCCTAGCCGCCTCATATTTGTCTTTAAATTATGTTCTGGACTAGAGGTATACCTCAGTGGGAAGGTGCTTGCCCAACACGCACAAGGCCTTACCTAGGTTCAATCCCCAGCACTGAAGAAATAAATAAGTAARTAAATAAATAAATAAATACTATACTATACTGAAACCTTTATATAGACGGTAAATAACAAAGACAGGAAAATAGTCTATTTATGTAGTTTATACTGGGTGCTTTCTTCATTAATATCTGAATATTAAGAGTTACRATATGAAGCATCCCCACATTTAGAAGAATTTTCTATAGGTATAATCTTCAAAAACTTTAGTATACARGCTAAACAAGTATGGTATGAATGTGTGCCTTTTAACTTCTTCAAACCAAAACAAATGCAATTATTTAGACTGCTGCCACCATCAGCTTAAAGTTAAAACAGAGAATCATCATTTAATTATACCATAGATATAAAAGGAATAGGAAATGTATATATGTAAAATATATACATTTATATGAACTGAGATCAYAGGACAGATAAATACTACAAAATCCTGAGGCCAATTTTACCATTCATATTATGAATATTTGTCTTACTGAAAAAAAAAAACCTTCCCTTTTATTTTCTTTTTTGAGTGTTCTTTTTTCTAAATTTTCATGAAAAGTATTGAGTATATTTTGCATTTTCTGCTCAATTCCTTTTTTTTTAGTTTTTTTTCTTTTTCTAAGGAAACATAAGTTCCCTTTTATAATAAGAATTACTGTTTTCCCCCATGAACAGTGATATAAAAGTCTTAATGACCATCATTATATGTCTTAAACATATAGTATAGTATTTATATAAATATAGCTTTTAAAAATTATTTTAGTTGAAATAGCTTTACAATATTAAGGAAATTTTAAGATAGTTCTCTCTTAATCCTGCTACTCTAATGTAATTGTTATTATTTCACCATTTAGCACCTTTATTCAATGTGTATATAATTTTAAACAGTTATAATTTTAACACAAACACAATTTTGGAATCTGCCTTTTTAACCTAGTTTAATTTCACAAATACTTTTTGACATTATCACATGGTAGTGAAATTTTTTTTGAAATGTCTATATAATATTCCTTTGAGTTAACTTATTTTTTCATTCCCCAATGACTGAGTTTGTTTCCAATTTTTTGCTATTTTATTTAATGTTCAATGAACATCTTTGTAAAGATATTTTCTCTATAGAACTTTATTATTCTTTTGTTACAATAAATCCCAAGCAGTACATTTCATAAGCCAAAACAGTGTAACCATTTCTGTCTTTGGTTTTCGTTTTAGTTGTTAGTCTAATTATTTTAGTTTTATTATTAGTTATTTGTCTCTATGCTTAAATTCTATTGTTGTATTTATTACTTGTAAAAATATTTGAGTGATTCTTATTGCTGGCTGTTGGATTTTGGTTTGTATGAATCAGACTTATAAAGAACTGCCATAAAGCAGCAGGTCTGGAGGAAGTCCCCATAAATAGAGTGGGAACATTTTGTAGGTTTCTGAGCRGATTCTGTAACTATATAGTGGGAAAATCTGTTCTGCAGGAACTTGGGGTATAATATTCCCTTAACAGTTAAGAAAATGAAACAACATAAAAAACAGTATAAGGATGTTAGGACAATTTAAGAAATAACCAAATCTATTAAATACTTAAGAAGTAGGAAGTTAAACCAGCAGTTTAAAACACGTGCTTAATCAAGCTGAAGACTCCATATACTCTTGTTGGCTCACCACTTGGTTCTCTATAGAGAAAGCAATTGTTCTGTTTTCTTCCTATGTTTTATAAAAATTTATAGGTGAGAAACTCATCCCCAGCCTTAGTAACACTATTTTTTAAGCAGATGACTTGTTGTCTTTAATGTCATAACAGTCATGCAAAATGTATAGTTCCCAGCCTCAATTCATTTATGATTACTTGCATTTATTAAAAGGAATCATAACAAAAATTCATTCTAATTTCATTTATTAAAGCAAGTGACAAGCTTCTTAATGATTGGGTTATAACTGGGTTTTTTTTTAAATACTGGTGGTTAAATTTTCATCTGTGAAACTCTGATTTTTACATTCTCACTCCCTTTTCCTAGAGATCCAGTGTACCATTTTTGATCCTTTTAAAAAGATAATAGATTCTTATCTTTCCATAGTGTATTTTAGTTTGGTCACCTGACTCTATCCTCTGATATCTGATTGCATAAACATGAGTTAAAATAGAACCAAGCTTCTCATCATTCTACCCAAAGCAACTCTATTCTGTCATCATTATTCCTGCTTTCCTAGATACTAAGGGTTAAAACCTTGGAATCATTCCTGACTCTTACTCTTCTTCTCCTTTAATATCGAGTTCATCTCCAGGTCATAACTATGATTTTTTTCAGTGTCTCCCACTCCACTGTCTTTTTGTGTTTTCCGTTATCTCCACCTTAATCCTGGTTCTCATTACTCCTAGACCACTGCAACAGTCTAATTGGTCTGCCTCCAGTCCTTCCCCACTCCATTGCATCTTGCACATAACTTAAAATCCTCTGAAATCTGACCATTACCCAGATCCCAACTTCATCTGCAGTTGCCCAAGAGAACCAATCAAAATGGAATTTTTCATTATTTCCTGTAATATGCTGTCCATATTGCCAGCTTCTTAATGGCAAAAGTAATTGCCCCACTGCCCAATCCCCAGCCTGATGCCAAACCAACCTTCTCCTTAAGCCTTCCTCTTTGCCCTAGCCAGCATTAATTGGCTATAMTCCCATTCATCAGGTGCTAACCATGTCTGTTGCATTGTAGTATTTACATTTTGTTTGTCTGCCTGCAATAGGAGAGTATATGCCTTTGATGGACAAGATTAAGTCTTAAAATCTCTCAGTATCCCCTACTGTGTTGGTAGATAATAATAGATGAATGGATGAGAAGGTGGACTTTGATATGACATAAAGCTGGGTTTGAATTCTGGTTTTGCCACCTTTTGACTATAGGACCTTAAGTGAGTTACTACACTTTTATTTCTTCATATGCAAAATGAACATGATTAAAACCCTGTCACAGGATTTTTGAAAGCATTAGATAGGACAAATATGTATGAAATGTGCTTAACAGTGCCTGACATATAATAAATAATAAATGGTTGCAATTATGATTATTCTAACTGCTTAGTTAATGTTTGTCAGTCACCATTAATGATGCATCTTCAAGAACTTTATAATTTTTCCTTTTTCATCAGATRACTACAAATATATAGTTACAGTGTGAAGGTGTAGATATCAGTAGGCTATATGGAATTGAATGTAGGGTTTGTTGTTGTTGTTGTTTTTCTTATGTAGAAAAATGATTTGTTTCAAGAAATCGTTTCACTCACTTATAAACTAACCTCTTGTAAAAAAAGAAACACAGCTTTGTAAACAATGAAACCAAAACCAAATCACCTTTTTTGTATATAGATATTGCTTCTGTTCTAAGAAAGACCCCACCTCCACCACTACCTCTGTGGTGCTGGGGATTAAATCAGGGCCTCACACATGGTAGGCAACAARAGACATTTTTACAGCACAAAGGAGTATCTTCTCATATAGAGAAAATAATTATGAAACTAAAATATACTTAAAAAAAGGGCTAAATCTTAGAAAAATGACCGTTTTATATGCTGTATCAGTTTACTTTTACCATTTAAATGTTAARTGAATTCATTTTCAGAAACTAAGGTAGCTAATAAAAAAATCTAAAGTTACTTTTTAAATTGCAGGGTAAGTACCAAACATTTTAAAACTTGAATCTGATGGTAAAGTAACAAAATGCAAGTGTTATAAAAATAATGTTAAAATATTGTTAAAGAATTCTCTGCTCATAAATAAACAAAAAGTCGAATAAATTAGCCTTGGAGTAAAAAAACAGCAAACTGTACCAGTACACAGGTAATAATTTACCAGAGTGTTCTGGGTACATTACTTTAGCAGCCATTTCCCACAAGTAGCTGGGACTGGCAGGATGGCCAGATAAAAATAGAAGAACCAAAGGAGTTGCAGGGTCACTCCAACACCATTAGGAGGGATATCTGATACAAAGTATATTCATTCAACATGGAATTTGTTATCACTTGTGTTTGCCTAATCTAGAATAAAAGATGGAATCCCTGGTCACTTTTTTTCTGCCTTCAATTATAAAGCACATTTTATAATCTTTTTATTTCTTTTTTTTACCCCCTAGGGATCACATGCAGTGGTCTAAAGAAGAAGAAGAAGYAGCCAGAAAAAAAGTAGAAGAAAATTCAGCTGTGCAAGTCATTCCAGAAGAGCAAGGTAGCCTATGACATTGTGGCTCCTAGAGCCAGACTTCTCTTACCTTCCACTGGTTCAGTTCATAGCTAGCTGGTGTCATTGCTTCTGAGAGTTCATAGCTTCTACCTAAGCCAGTCAGTCCACTTGTTCCCTTTTGTAGAATTCCTAGTTCTTCCAGGGTAGTAGGACCAAAATTAATGAAATAAATTATGTATTCACCCTATAATTGGTCTTTTGGTAGTCATAATGCTTTTTCTGGAAGATACACATATGGATGGCATTTTAAACAAGATATGAAAATATAACTTTAAATTTTTCTTCTTGCTATGCTACTTTCAGTATGCTATTGTGCGTTTCACTTGCTAGGAACTTTGAACATATTCATGAACTTTGAGTGAAGAAGATAAAGTCATATCAAAGTTTCAATAAAGATCAAAAGCATTTTTCTTGGAGGACTATGTATCTAGAGTTTAATTTAGGTAAAGTCTTGTCAGCCTTCACAAATGGCTTTTTAAAAAATTGGCCTGTGCTACTGTCAAAAAAATAGAAAATGAAAAGTGTTGACAAGGATGTAGAGAAATAGGAGCCCTTGTGCACTATTGGTGGGATTGTAAAATGGTGCAGCCACTATGGAAACCAGTATAGAAGTTTCTCAAAAAATTAAAAATAGAATTCCTATTATGATCCAGCAAATCATTTCGGGGTTACATTAAAAAAAATTGAAAGCAGGATCTCAAAGTGAGATTGCATTCCCATGTTCATASCTGCACTATTTATGATGGGCTGCTGTGAAGACACAGAACAAAAGATACCATTTCAAAATGACTCAAAGAGGTAGAAATTTCCACTACATCCCTTCTGCATCCTCCCTGCAACACTACTCAGTGCAGTGGGCTTCATGTGTATGTCAAAGGACCACAGCAGTGGGAGGAATACATTATGAAGTGACCATCTTATCACACTTAAAGCAAGGTTGCACAGAGCAGTAGCTAAAGCTGCTAGGAGGCTGCCAAAGGAAGAAGACTGGTGTTCTAAGGACAAAAGGTGGAAGCAACACAACCATGTTGGATGAATGTTATAAACAAAATGTAGTATATACATAAGATGGATGTTATCCCACCTTAGAAAGAAAGAAATCCTGTCACATACCACCGAATAAGCCTTTAGGACATCATGCTAAGTGAAATAAGCCAATCACAAAACAGAAAAATACTGTATGATCCACTTACATGATGTATCTAAAGTAGTCAAATTCATAGAAACAGCTGAATGGTTGTTGCCAAGGGTTGGGGGAGGAAGGGAGAAAAGGACAGTTATTTGGTAGATTTAGAGTTAATGTTTGGCAAGATGGAGACATTCCAGAGATCTGTTTCCCAACAATGTGAATATACTTAACACTACTGAACTTAAAAATGGTTAAGATGTTAAGTTTTATCTTGTGCATGCTTTTCACAATGTTTTTTTAAAAAGCACAGGAAGGAAAGGATGGAGGGATGAAGAAAAGAGAAGAGAAAAGAAGTTGGCCTATGTCCTCACTGCATATAACTGGGAACCCWCAGATCCTCTGCCCAACTCCTACCCTGTCCATATGGGATTTCCACCTTATTTTTCTTAAAATGATATCTTCTTTAGAACATGTTGGTTCTTTTTTTCTTTCTTTTTTAAAAAATAATTTATTGAAGTATCAAATAGATACAGAAATTTATGCAATTTATAAATGGATTTTCACAAAGTTCAGTGAATTTTCAGAAAATGAATGTATCTATGTAAAAAGCACCCACATCAAGAAATAGAATATTACCAGTAACCTAGCAGCTTTCTCATGCTCCTTCCCAATTATAGTACTCCCACAGACCTCTCACACATAAAAGAATAGCCCCCATTCTGGCCTCTAATACTATGGATTAGTTGCCAGAACACTTGGTTCTGGTCATCATATTCTGATCACTCTTATAGCAATGTAAGTATAACCTAATGATAAAGTGAGAGTCAGCAAACTATTGCTTATGGGCTCGTATCCAGCCTGCTTCCTATTTTTATAAAGTTTTATTAGAAAACAGACTTACTCATCTCTTGACATACTGTCTATGGCTGCTTTTGAGCTATAAGTACAGAGTTAAATAGCAACAGAAACTGAATGTGTTCAACAAAGACCAAAGAACTTACTACCTGGTCCTTACAGAAAATATTCTACAAGTTCTAAGGTAATTTTTTTTTCATAGATTGATAGCTGTCCTGAAACTCCCAGAGAAAAATGTTTGCTTCCTGTGTAAGCCAAACAGCAAAAATCATCAATTCCATTGGTGGCTAACTATTATTCTAGTAACYTTAGTCTACAGTTGAGGCTGAAGTTCTTTGAAACAAAGGTAGTTGTAAAGACTGAATTAGTGAGACAGCCTTCATTAGCTCTGCCCTTAATCAGTGAAGATAGCAATGCTAACCTAGCCTCTCTTGGTATCATGGATAACCTATCTTAACCTCTGTCATTGTTTGCTATGCCTTATAGGTAGTTCTTCTTCCTCCTCCTAAACATTAATATGTCTTTGGGGATGGACAGTAAAGAAGAGCACCTGATTCACGGTGGAATCATTCTGTTTTTATAAGTTCCAACCGTGCAGTCCCAGGATGGAATATGGCCAGGGAGTGTTGGGGCTGGATTTGAGGGTACATACCAGTGGCAATACTGCCTACAGATCAGCCAACATTGCATTCCTTTGCAGGACTCTGTCACACTGTTTTTGAGGAAGTATAACTTTGCTTCTTTTCCAGCAGCTGCACAGACATATTTTCCACATTACTCAAACTTCTGCTAGTGGCCACCTGGATTTGACAGAGAGAGTCAAGCCTAAACTGAATTAAAAGTTATCAGTCATTTTAATTCACTTCCAGGAAGTTGAAAATGATCCACAGTGTATTTCCTGATAATGCAAAAAAAAAAAAAAAGAAGTTTTTTTAACCCTCTTTTGAATATATCTGTTCAGATCATAGATAGATGAGCATGGCTGATACTGTTCCTTTAAAGTGCTCTGTACAAGGCTGCCTATTTTGTCCTATTTATGTTAACAATGAACTTGAGTGAAGCTAATGAGAAGGTTATTTTAGGGCCTCGGAAACCGCAGTAAAGGAAAATGACAGTTCCCACAGAACCATAGTGTGACCAAAATAGAAAGGTGGTGACTGGCCTCTCTCTATAGAAACAGGAAAAGCAGGCAAGAGAGGGCTGATGGTGCCACGTTGAGGCATTTGATTTGCTTATTAGCATGTCCATTCTTTTCTGTGGAAGTTTTCTAGCTGCTCCGAAGAAACAGAGCAAAAGATTCCATTTCAAAATGACTCAAAGGCGTACAGGTTTCTGCTGGGTCCCCTCWGTTTTCCCCCATAACACAATTTGGTGCAGTGGGCTTCTTGTATGTCAGGGAACCACTGTAGAGGAAGGAGTGCATTATGAAGTGGCCATCTTATCACACTTAAAGCAAGGTGGCACAGAGAAGTAACTGAGGCTGCAGGGAGACTTGTGTTCTGAGGAACTATGTCAAATGATAGGACATTGTAATGAGAGCCATATAGTGCAGTTTCTGCTAGTGCTCATAGACCTACCACTCTGCCRAAGCCCCGGATGAGGCTTCCAATTTGATATTCTCTGATGAATATGGGTCAGGGTGAATAGACTGTTTAAAAGCTCTGCTCCCAAATTTTGTGAGAACCCCAAGGAAGCCTTGCTCTGGCTCTTTCACCACTGCCTATGTTAACCATCTTTTCTTACCTAGGAGAGTTTTTAAAGTTTTTAAAGAGCCAAGCTCTCCCATCACAAAGTATTCTGTGTACATATCATTATACAGTAGGTGTTGGGAGCCGCCCCAGTTCCAAAGACTAACTTCCCCATCCCCCGAGAAGATGACAATGGTGTCATCCAATGGTGAGCCCTGCTGGCTCACATGATCCTTACCCACGAATCAGACTAGCCCTGCTGGCTCACGTGATCCTTACCCACCAATCAGACTAGCCCTGCTGGCT